TGTGTGAGAGGAGGGACTCTGTGAGTGAGCACTATACATCATCCTATAGAGCCTGTGCTATGTTGTGGTTTAACCACAGCTGGCGATGAAGCACCACGCAGCCGCTCCCTCCCTCCCTCCCAGTGGGATGGGGAAGAGAATCAGAAGGGTAAAAGTGAGAAAACTTGTGGGCTGAGATAAAGACAGTTTAATAGGTAAAGCAAAAGCTGTGCACACAAGCAAAGCAAAACAAGGAATTCATTCACTGCTTCCCACCGGCAGGCAGGGGTTCAGCCATCTTCAGGAAAGCAGGGCTTCGTCACGCGTAACAGTGACTTGGGAAGACAAATGCCATCACTCCAAATGTCCTCCCTTCCTCCTTCCCCCGGCTTTATATGCTAAGCGTGACCTCGTATGGTACAGAATAGCCTTTTGGTCAGTTGGGGTCAGCTGTCCGGCTGTGCTCCCTCCCAGCTTCTTGTGCACCCTCAGGCTCCTTGCTGGTGGGGTGGGGTGAGAGGCAGAAAAGGCCTTGACTCTGTGTAAGCACTGCTCAGCAATAATGAAGACATCCCTGTGTTATCAACGCAGTTTCCAGCACAAATCCGAAACATAGCCTCATGCCAGCTACCATGAAGAAAATTAACTCCATCCCAGCCAAAACCAGCACAGGATTACACACTGGATAACTGATGCTATGACAAAAAAATATTTTATATGGAGAATTCTTAAATAGCGAGGTCCTGCAGGGATTTATTATATGCTCTTTAGTGGTCTTCTCTATCAATATGAAAAAAGTGTTGCTTACAAAGTGGTGACAGTAGAAAATGATTAATTAAGAAAGATCTGTTCTAATAGGCTGCTTTGGATAGCTTGATGGATTCATTTAAACAATATGCATTTTAACACCAGTAAATTGAAGGAATTTAAAAAGAAAATGTTTATCACTGTTCATAAAGTGGGGATTTTATTGCTTTTTCAAGCTTGCTCTGAGAAGACTCTGGGATGGGGCTGGGAGGTCTCGCATATACTGGGCAGAAATGACTTCCTAGTACCACGATGTAGCTGAGAAGGTGAGAAGAACCACCAGATGCTTAAGCAGAGGAACACAACAGTTTGTGGTAGTAATGAGGCCCTTGAGGGAAAACTGCTCAGTTCTGGTGTCTGTACTTCCCATCCTTTTCAACTGATGATAAATTGGAAGAGTTACAGGAATGACCATGAGGTCTGTAGATCATCTATTATAGTGGCATATTTAATAAACTCAATCTATTTGTTCATGGCCATTGGTAAGTATGATCTCTCAGTAAATAGGATCTGTAAGTTACCATGGTGTTTTAAAGGAAGGTTAATTTACCAGCTGTAGTGGCCTTTGGGTGACAATGTGGACAGAGTGATCTCATAGCTGTGATGCTCTCCACAATCCTGGGCAGAAATGGTAGGAATAGGCCAGGGAGCTTCAGTGGCCACTTGGTCCTGGGGCATGAGGGCAGGGAGGGCCAGACCTCATGTGGTAGCTCAGTGTTAACTGCCCATGGCTGCTCCCTGGCCTTGCTTGTGGTGAGGAGAGGGCTTCTCCCAGCTGTGTGAGAGCCAAACTGCTCTAAGACGACTGGTCCAGGTAGCACGACTGAAAATGAGAACGCTTCCATTTCCTCCTCATAATGCTGGCACATAGGCAGTGTCAAGAAGAAAACCCGCGTGTTTCAAGGTCAGAGAGAGATAAAAAGTAAACCGAGAAAATATCAGGGTGTGCTGAGCCCAGGATTACAAACGGTGTGTTACAGCAGGCCTGGATCTGGGTGTCCAGGTGTCTGATGGCCCAGGGACAAGGGGCCTGTGCTCTTCCTGGGTATCTGGAGGTCTATAAATTCTTTCTAGCCAGTATCCTCTGATCTTTCCCAGCCTTCGTGTTCAGTCAGGAGAAAGGATTTGTCCAGGGACGCTGACATGTAGTGTCTCAAAGGTTGTGAGAGGGTACAAGAGGGAAACCTGTCTCCAGTTGCAAACCTGAGGGGAAAAAAAAAAACCCACATTGAGGACAAGGTGTGAGAAGCAATGTTGGCTGTGGGAGGGCACAGGCATGTAGCTCGGCCATGAAAGTGTCGATGTGACACTGTCGGATGCAGTTCATTGCTTCTTCTGTTTATTTTTTAATCAAGAAAATTGTACACGCAGGGCAACTTTCATAGTGTTCTTTTAATGCCCCTAAGAAATGCTAGGATCAGGCTGTCCATGTAATCTTTTTCTTGTACATGTGCTTTATGGTAAGCTAATGGCATGAGCACCTGCCCCCTTCTGTCCTGTATTCTCAACTCACTCGTGTGCCAAAGATGACAATGCTCACTTACTTCTTGTTCACCACATGACACCATTCTATTCAAGCACTTGCCTGAAGGCAAAGTTTTTAATTTTGGCAGGCTTTCTTATGGTGCTCGTCTGAGTGTGTTATAGACAAAAGTGAAGTCACTTTGCCAGCAGGTTTCTGAAATGGAGGGCAGGATGCTGTCCCTGCTTTATAGACAGGGATTTAAGGGATGTAAGGGCTTAGAACAAGGGACTTATTGGAGTACCTTTGAGATGATACCTTTGACTTTGTGACAACTTTGAGACTGCAAACCTGATTTTGATTTTTGTTTTCCTTTTTTTCTTGAGTACTTAGAGAACAAGGTGTTACATCACTCTAAATGCAGCCTCATGGAGTACCTGGCTATATTTGAGTGCATAGCATCTCTGCAAAGTAGACTTAGAGATTCACTCAGAAAATGGGAAGCACAAAGTAGTGACTGCAGATGCAAAATCTGGCTACTGAGGATTGCCTGAGTGCATGTTAAAATTTTCTGGGGAAAAGTGGGTAGATACTCAGCTGAGAGATCACCATCACTGCTTCCCTGATCCCCTGACTCTCTTTCCTACCTGTTTCAGCTTTTCTAATAGCCCTACAGAGAGAGGCTGCCCTTGGTTTGCCTATGCTGGCTCACACCAGAGCAGGTCCAGCCTGTGCTCTCAGAGAAATGGGAGTATTATTGGAAAAATGGCTTGGTGTGATTAAAGGCTGTTACCAAGCCCATGGACCAGAGGTCAGAGCTGAGCATAAACCCTAAAATTCACTAGCTCCTGAGCTCTTAGTTTTGCAAACTCGCTGTTTTAATATAATTCATGTGCTACTACATAAAATTAGCACTTTGAATTCTGGGGAAGAAAGGATTAGAAGTAAAGTTTTTTAGACCAGAGGCGGTTTTACTTTTAGTCTACATTTAAACTCTTGTAATAATGCAGAGCAAAGATTATCTCAGTGACAGTTTAGCTGAGGAATCCATAGCTTTGATCATAAGGGAAGTACATCTCTAGTCTTTGATTTTTCTTTCATGAGCTACAAAAGTAGTAATCCTTGCTCTTATATAAAATACCACTTCATATATAGTGCTTTTATAATCAGAGTAAGTGCATAGGTCTTACTTTTAATGAAGCCAGTGCATTGTAATCTAAAATCTGATGTCATTAGTTTGTACCATAGACATATTTCTCAACAACACATGTAAGTCATGTCAGTGTTGAAACTGAATTCAGTCAACAGTTATAGGTGAAAAATAATTAGATATTGCAGTGTGCTGTATGTGGCCTAAGTTCTTAATTCAGATGTGTACAGAGCTTTTGCAAATGAATTGGCACCCTCTATTACTGGGTTGCCTTGCTGATCCATTTGCTCAGGCAGTGCTACAGACTTGTTCTGAACTAACCACAAAGCGGGTGCGCTGCTCCGCAGGATGAGGGTGAATGCCTGAAGGTGAAGGGCAGCAACTCCGTGCATCGGTGTATTGCTGCCAGTGCCCTGTGGTGTCAGGGGAGGCATGAGGGAACCGCAGCAGGGGAAGCACAGTCACGGACAGGGGCCCACTTGAAACGCTTTGCTGCTCAGTGGCTTTTGCAACTCTAGCTTTGAGTTTTCCCCTTTTGGGGCATGTTCTTTACATGTCTGCTTGTTCCACTTCAGTAATAAATGTTGCTGTTTTGTTAATGTGGGGAAATTCAGATCACTTTTCCCTCCGTGGCCTGATGGCTAGAATTACTGCAGGAGCGGCACAAAGCCTATTTCTTCTCCTGTGTTTTCTAGTGTCTTTTGCAAAGCTGATCACTGAGTCTGCAGCTCCCTGCTAGGGATTGTTCTGAATTAGCTCCCTAGCCAACTGATTGTTTCTGAATGGTTCTTCTGCCCCAGCATTCAAACAGCAGTAATGACCTCACAGCCATTGTTTAAGGGGACCTTTTTGTACTATTTAGCTCTTTTCTGGCTATTCTCTTCCATCCCACCATCCATGTTTATTCTTCCCCCCCCCGCCCTGGCTATAAAGGGCAAGGGAGGGCAAGGCACCTTCCTCTCCCTCCACGCCCTAGTATCTTCTCTGTTATCAGTTTTCTAAACTAAAAATCCCTTTCAAGAAGAGCATGCATGTAGATTCACATTTGCATCTGGGGTACGCTTTTCTTTAAGCTATAATGGAAACAAGCCTACTTGGGTACTAATTGTTCATCAAAAGTAAAGCAAAGAGCCAATGACTACTGGAGTGAATTCAGACTTTTCTCCCATGCAGTTCACTTCCCAGCATTCATTCAAATGTTCAAACTGATTTGACTCTGTCTTCTTAGAGACAAAGCAGTCCTGTTCGTACTCGGCCACATTCTTGTCTCCTCAGCCATCCCAAAGAGAGCGTACCAGTTCCTCTAGGAAGCTTCTGGAGCTGTTTTTGGTAACTGTTGTTACTGTTTACCTTCAGCTGTTCCTTCCTGGATCCTGCCTGGCTCAGCACCTTGCTCCCTGTTTGCCAGTGTTTCTTTGTAGCAAGGCTCCCTTCCCTCCTAATCCCCAAAGCCTTTGAAGTAAACAGCTCTTTTTTTGGTTACATTTGCTCTGTTTCTGAACTAAGGCTTCCCCTGTGTGAGCTCTTCTGGGCCAGCCAACTCAGCAGCAAGTGCAAGGCATGGGGTTTTCATGCTGTTTCACACTGATGTCTCTTTTACAGGAGTTATTCAGCGCTGCACTGCTGTGAAGTACCACTACACCTCCAGCTCTCTGCCTCGCAACTTACCCATCAACATCACGAACACCATCCGGCAGGATGAGTGGCACGCGCTCCGTAAGTAACCCAAACCAGCATACAAGACTGCTTGGATTACTTAATGCCTTCATGCAATGCCAAGTGAGGGCTCTGAATCAGCTAGCCGTCACTGGGCAATAAGCATAAAAACATATTTGTTAGTGAGGAAGGGCAAGCAGCTGACAGTATAATTGGGAGAGATCATGAGATTTTGGAGGGGCTTAAGCAGTGAATTCAGGAACTCAGGCATGTGTGTAGTGTGCTGCAAGGTGTAATCATATTCTGGATCTGGGGACAGACAATTCCTAGCTGGCTTACAGCAAAGGTGCTGCATCACCATATAGTCTGTGTAGAGCCTGTTGCATTTTTCGGTGTGCACACCAAGACCTGCTGCAGCTCCCTGGCAACCAGGGAACAGCTCAGTTAGTTTGTCTCTGTGACCTCCTGTTACCAGTTGCCTTGTGCCCAAGTCCTTCCCACACAGATGACTGACCCATAGCCTGCCACTGAGAATGATTTAATTGTTTTGTTTGGTTTTTTTTTCCTGCTCCTGCTTCTCTCTCTGTTTGTTTTCTGGGTCTGTTGCTTCACATAATTCTGCCCAGCCCCTATCATGTGAGCCTCAGTGCTGAGGAAATCCATCTAGAGCCTGAACAGGGAAGAGACAAGAACAGCACTTGTATTATGGATGACAACGTGATGTTCATATCACTGGTGCCCAAGCTTTTAGAGCTTGTCACTGGAGTTGTTCCCATCATGCTGTATTGATCTGCTGTCTGCTTCTGTCCTCCCACTATTCTGCTTTTCAGTTCACACTATCTGCCTTCCATGCGCTAGGCCTTTACTTCTCTTCAGCATCCCCTCTCACTTCTTTTGTTTCTATTTTCAGCAGACACTTACCCAACAAAGTCCATCCCAAAGAAGCACACCACAAAATAAAAAAAAGCCTAACATTTACAAATCATTGCCGAATTCATAAGGCACCCCTTCTGTCCCATGTTGGGGAGTATTTGGCCAGTATTCCTCTTTATCAGGACAGAAATGCTCTCTAGTTGTACAGTGCCCAGCAGAAGGGAGTCAAGTTAGCTGGATTCCCTCAATTTCAGTGTAATGGGCAAGCTATCCACCTCGAACAAGCTATGGGAGGAGGAGTCCATGAGTGAAGTGTAAACTAAATCTGTCTGGACTCTCCCTTGGCTGGCCTGTGTGGATGCTGCCATGTTCATGTCTTCTTTCTTGCTTTTCACCAATCTCTTTCCTCAGATCTGCGGAGGATGACAGCTGGTTTCATTGGCATGGCCGTCTCCATCATCCTGTTTGGGTGGATCATTGGTGTGCTGGGCTGCTGCAAACAGCAGGAGCTCATGCAGTACGTGGCCGGGCTGCTCTTCCTAATGGGAGGTGAGAGCCTTTCACTTCTGCTCCTGGAGTCACCACAGTGTTGCTGGCTGGGGAGGTGCTCTTAAAACATACGAAGCAGTTCTTTAGTGCAGCAAACCATCAGCACAGCGCAGTTACCACTTCCAGCACTGGGTAGGACCTGTGCTTGCATGGGTATTTGCATGTTTCTGAGTACAACTGGCTGTATGTACACAAGAGCCTTCTGCTCTGGAGAGCTGGTGTGCACAATGAGCACATCCTCTTGCCTGCACTGAGTGCGTGGAGCCTGCGGCTCCTGTCAGACAGCTCAGCTCAGTTTTCTCTAGGGAATCTTAATGAAGAAAAAAGAAAAATCAATGTAGAGCACCTTTCTGGTGCTCAAAGAGGCTCATGTCTTTAGGTAACAATGAAGTCCAAACCCTGCCAAGCCTGGAGAACATTGGCAGAGGGGTAAGAACATTAGCTCAGTGCTTGCCCAGGGTGTTACATCTGTTCCTTATGGCTGGGAGCAGACTTTCTGCACAACCAAAGGTTTTTCTGAACTTTGATCACTCAGCTCAAAAATGGGCAGTGTTTCGTCTTTATTTGAAAGGGCCATAGCAGCAACAAATGCACCAAACCAGTGAGATATTGAGATGCTGCATGGATGGGACTCTTAAATTGCAAGCTGTAAACAGGCAACTTTCAAGTATGAAAAAATAAGGCTTTACTTAAAAGCCAGAGCTGCTACCCTGGAGGCCCAGTGTCAGCATCTATTAACAAACAGCTGCAAGCAAGGAACTTGGGGATGTTACAGCATCTGTATCAATTAAACAGGTGTGACACTGGTTTGGTGCCACTTTCTTGGGGGGGGGGGGGGGGGGGGAGAGAAGGGAGTACAAGCCTTCTCGAGGAGTGTTTTTGGGCAGCTGCACAGAAACCCACCCTGCTGACATGGTGTGATGGTAGAAAGGCTGGAAGTCAGGCTTGTGCTGTCCTTGATCATCTTACATGCTGCTTAACTGCAGTTTCCTTTGGCAACAGTTTCCTTTATTGCACAGCAGTGAAAGAGTAAAGTATTGTTAAGTGGAACGGGTAGGCTGGGTCCCCTTCAAGTGCTTCTGCACTTACTGTGATGGCCGTGCTGTCAGTAGTGAGAGCTGTCATTAGCATTTAGACACAGAGCCACAGACGGTGAGAACAAAATGCTCACCTTGACCTTGAGTTTAGTGTACTAGTGTATATTAGACATACTGGAGTGCCTTGCATTATAAGTTTTTTCAGGTTGGTTTTTTTTTTTTTGGTTGTGGTGGTGGTTGTGTTGCCCCCCCCCAGAAGTGCTTAGTGAATGTGTAGCAGATGACAAAAACCTAGGCACCTTCTATGGGCTTAGGCTGCAGCGGGCAGGCATCTGGACGCTCCTAGCAGAAACCCAGCAGTGCTGCACTTACTTTGCAGCCCTGGGCTTCAGTTATCTAGCTTGCATAGGAGATCCTGCCCACATATTGTCCCGAACCTGATGACTTTAGTCATTGAAAAGAAAGTCTCAGGAGAATCAAAGCATGATGAGCTACACATGCCTTTGTTTGACATAGCAACAGAGGGAGCTAAGGCCATAGTGGTTAGTTGTGAAGTGAGGTAACCTGTAAGCATACATATTCCACCTTATGACAGGGAGGAAAACACACAGAACATAATTAACCTGTCTGTGAGCAGTGTAGAACCCTCTTGCTTTTCTCCTGCAGGTACATGCTGTATCATCTCACTCTGCACATGCGTAGCTGGGATCAATTTTGAGTTATCTCGCTATCCTCGCTACGTCTATGGGCTACCAGAGGACATCAGTCATGGCTATGGCTGGTCCATGTTCTGTGCCTGGGGAGGCCTGGGCCTCACCCTGCTGGCTGGGTTCCTCTGCACATTGGCCCCATCACTCAACACTTCTCGGGCGTCCGTACAAAAACCCAGACAAGAAAATGGGGCTGTGTGACCTCGGAGGGAGTAAGGAGAGACTCTGGAAAGCGCAGCCTGGGCAGAGCTGTGGGTTAACACCAGGAAGAGGTGGCGTACCAGCGTGTGGAGAGTGGTGCCATAGCTGTGGAAATACCAGCCCGTGGGATGCTGCTACAGCCTCCAGTCGCAGACACGGACATTGCAAGTAACTCCAGGTTTGAATTATTGCCGATTTGCTCATTGATGGTTTAAGGGGAACAGTTCTTTTGATTTGTTTTTCTTCTGTTTACAAGGGATTAAGTCCAAGGCTGTGTCTCTTTTTGTGCTGTTTTTTGAACTGTACCTCCATGGTCCTGTTATTGTCCAGTTGTAAGGGATGTTTACGCACCAACTCTATTGCTGCAGGTCTGTGTAATTCAGACCCAAATTAGGGCAAGGAGCTACGTGAAGTTGGCTTGAACACTTTTGCAACAGGCATGTCTAGTGTTGGCTCAGGCCATCGTTTCCCAAAAGAACCTTGATCTAAGCCGAGGTTTAGGCCAAAGAATTAGCCCATTCTTAGTATTAATTAATTTAAATCAGAAATCTGTGCTATTCCATGCTGTAGTATCAGCTATTTACTCACTACTGAAGCTGTTTCCAAAAGGAGCCGGCTGTAACTAAGCAGCAAGACTCCAAAAAAAACTCTTACTGGCTTTTGGAAAGGAGGGGAAAGTTTTCCTCAGCTGCTTACCCAGGTAAGGTTACTCATTTGGCTAACTAACATCCCCCCGTTTTAATGGGGAGATGTATGCAACACGCAGCTTATTATTATTATTCCACTAGAGGCCAGGGTATATTTCTGAAAGTATGTCATAGTTTGAGCTGCGGGATCAACTTTCACCCCCCAACTAATTTGTGGGTGCAACTCCTGTTCTGTGAAAGGAGGTGAGTAATTTACCCCAAGCTCAAATAGCTGTATTGCTAAAATAGCAAAAGATGTACAGCCCCCTCTAATATTAATGTCCAAAGGAACTGCAATGTATTTTCCTCAGGAACGCGTGGCTTCTGCTCACTTCACCACTCACCCCTTTCTAATGTCAAATGCCCCCTGAGCACAGCATGTCGCGAACACGCATGCTCTGCTGGAACGAGCTCCCGCTCCAAAATGAGCAGCAAGGACCTTGGAACCAGTGCAAGTACTAGAGCTAACTCAGGAACATCAGCCAAAGTACTCTGGGGTGCATTTTTCTTTCATTCATCTATTCTTTCTTCCCTCACATCCCCGCCCCTCTCCCAAGTGTCCAAAAACTGCACAGGTAAAGATGAGATGGCCAGCATTTGGAGATGTTTACATTGTATTTAAAATACAATACAGTGGCATGTAAGATACTTAATGCTAAAGTCAGTGTATTTATGAAAAGTGTAATTTTTAAATGGAAGTTGTAATTCTCAACTGGCATTAAAAGTACTGAAAGACTCGCTCAGTGGCTGAAACCTTGAATTCTTTCTGCCTCATTACCAGACCGAGTCACCAGAGAGCTCACATGCGTATCAGCAATGGTGTTAAAGCTTCCAGAGGTAGGTTTAAATGACAAAGTTAAAACATCATTCACGTGTGAATTGTGTTCACTTCTCCCTTGCAAAATGAGTGTTAGTTCAAAAGCTTCAAAGACTCTAACCAACCTGTACAGTCTGTTCACTGGCTGCACAGGTAAAAAGGGGGGACGCTGTGTGAGCTACAGATCATCAATTTCAAAGCACACTTACTGCAGTAACCTGTTGGTCCTCATCCAGAGCAGCAGTGCAGGATTTAATCCAGTTCTCACAGAAGGAGGCTCCAAGGGCAGCACGATGGGCACCATCGACAGGAGGCTCTCACCTTCCCCTTCGCAGATGTAGAACGACCGAGCAAGGGTGCAACAGCCCCAACACATCATGGATTTGTTTTTAGAGGGAAAAAAAACGCTTTATTTTTTCCAGACAGAAAGTACAGTCCAGTCTAGTCCTGTCCTCTGCCAAGGCCACAACCTTGACTGGGCAGAGATCAGGCATAGTACTGCAGATTGGCTTTCTTCTTTGCTTGAACCTCCAGGATTCCTTCCATGTAGTCCTCATGGGTGAGCTCTGTAGCTCCACGGCGGAGGGCAATCATCCCCTGCCCAATGAGACAGTATTTAGAGAGGGCATGCGAGCACCACATCAGTTCAAAGTAACTATTCCACACGAGCTTTCACATCTCCCTCCTACCAGCACTGGCTGCTGTAGAGCAATACTTACCGCTTCAACACACACAGCCTTGCACTGGGCTCCGTTGAAATCATCTGTGCAGCGAGCCAGTTCCTCATAGTTCACATCAGGGCTGATATGAGCAGGAGGGAGAAAAAAACCAGTCTGAGAACAGGTACCACATAGAAAAGGCAAGGTACGGACCTTCCTTAAAACCCAACAATGAGCTTTCAACAAAAGAGAGCACCTACCACTCTGCAGCCCTGAGGTACCATCATGAATGACAGACATAGCCCCAGAAGGCCATGCCTCTTCCATACCTGACATTCATTTTGCGTGAATGGATCTGCATAATTCTGGCTCTGGCCTCCTCATTAGGCATTGGGAACTCAATCTTGCGATCTAATCGTCCAGAGCGGAGCAAAGCTGGGTCCAAGATATCAACCCGGTTGGTTGCAGCAATCACCTAAGTAGAAGTAGGGTCATCAGTCTCAGGCACCTGGAGGACAGGCCTCTCCTCCCCAAGGATCCACCAAGCTTGGGCATTGTTTTCCATCCCCTGCTACAGCACCCTGGACCTCAGTAGCACTCTCTGCTAGATCCCAACCTTGACTTGTGTGTTGGGCTGGAAACCATCAAGTTGATTGAGCAGCTCCAGCATGGTCCTCTGCACCTCCCGATCACCAGCCTTCTCACTGTCAAACCTGAGGTGGAAACAAGGGTAAAACTATCTGCATGAACCTGACCACCCTGCCCCTATGTTTTTAATCACATAAAAACACAGAATGACTGCAGTTCACGCTCCTTGGCCAAGGTCTTCCAAATTCCTCCTTGAAACTACAGGAAGTCCTACCTTGATGAGGACTGCGGCTACAGTAACTGTCAGCAGCAGCTAAGTCTTACGACTTAGAGCCAAATGAGGCTGATGTTGTCCAGGCCCAAGCAGTAAATGAGGGTAAACATCTCCATGCGCCCGATGATACAGTTATCTCAAAACAGTTTGATACGGCAGGAGACCATCAGATAGGTCCTGAGTCTCATGAACTTTGCTTGTGAGCCCAAGGATTGTGGCAACTGCCATCTGTGGCTGGCTTTACACTCTGTTTCCGAATAGGCCATGCTTTAAGCTAGGCTTCCCTCACATACACAAGCAAAGGGGGCTGCTAGGCAGCTCCCACAAGCTTTGCAGTGTGGCCTACACCTCACCTTTTGGTGCCAATGGCATCCAGTTCGTCAATAAAGATGATGGAAGGAGCTTTTTCCTTGGCTAGAGCAAAAGCATCGCGTACCAGCTTAGCTCCATCGCCAATGAACATCTGCACGAGCTGTGGACCCGCCAGCTTCAGGAACGTAGCCTGGGAAGTGAAAGAGAAGCCTATGCCTCATTTCTCAGTAGGGCCAGTTCTGAGTACTACAAGAAGCCCTTAATTAAAACAAGCAAGCCAGCAAGCAGACAAGATGATCCCAGCCTTTGTAACACCAGTTTGCATGTATGAGCCCTCTCCCCTTGGAGGTGTTCTTACTCTTTTTCAGGTATTCCACAGCAGCACAGGCTTTCAAAGGTTCCTTTTACCTTGGTCTGGGCAGCACATGCTCGAGCTAAAAGCGTCTTCCCTGTTCCTGGAGGCCCGTACATAAGGACTCCTTTGGGTGGCTGTATACCCAAGTTTTCAAACTTCTCCTTATGATTCATGGGCAGGACAATGGCCTCCACGAGCTGCAGTAAAAGAAAAATATTAACAGATAAACCCACTCCACTCCACAGATCCAGGCTGCTTGCTTTGAGCTGAGGTTCTGAGCTGAAGTTCAAGGACTGTTGTCCTCAGTCAGACCAGAAACTGAATGTGAAGTATCACCTCTTGGATTTGTTTATCCAGCCCCCCGATGTCACTGTACTGCTCTGTGGGTCTCTCATCCACCTCCATGGCTTTCACCCGTGAGTCGTATTCAGTAGGTAGAGTCTCCAGGATCAAGTAAGAGTCTTTGTTCACTCCCTGTAAACACAAATCCTTTGCTTTTAACAGGCCCTTCAGATAGCAATTAGTAAACACTCAATCAAAGATGATTCACTAGACCTCATGGACACGGGACCAGCTTTGACACTGGCACTCATCCAATCACCACAGCCTGGCACGGCACACAACACCACAGCTCACCTAGCACATTGTAAAAAGAAGGGGCCTGGTTTACTTACGATACAAAAGATTCATTTTAGAAAGCTTACTAGGTGGCATCTAAATGTTGAGCACCTAACTGCATGTACAAAGACACCCCCCTAACCACTTTTCTATACTACAGACATGACTGAACCTGTAATGTCTTTTCATTAAAATTTTAGTACAGAAATGGTCTTGGAGAAATCTGGACAGATCTGTCTCTTTTCTAAAGAGCCAGACATACGCAATTTTCTGGCCAACATTATATCCAAGAGTCGCAGCAGCATCACTCACCACTAGGTCTCCGGGCTTCAACTTCTCAGCATCAACCAAGCCAATAACGGGCAGGAAATATGTCTGTAGGGAAGGGATCAAAGTAAGCAAACCCAGCCGCACTAGGGTAAGGTCCTCACGCCTCACTGGGCACATGGGTCTTACCTGGCGCGTAGATGTCTTGATCACAGCACACTTGCCCTTTCTCTGGGAATCCAGGTCAATGTTTGCCCCATCCTCCTCCTGGTCATTGGGGTCAACATCCAGCAGCTGAAAACCAGAGCGAGAGATTTCATGATAACATAGCCAGGCTAGCAGGATGACCGCAGGACTAACGCTTCTAAATTACGTGCAGTAGGAGAAATAAAACTTCCACTGTCCACCAGCAGTAGAATGGTCAAAGCATTAAAGCCCTCCTATAAAAATTAGTTTCTTCCTTTCCTCATGAAGCAGCACACAACACCGCATAGAAAGATGCAATGAAGTCCAGAACAAAGTAGTAGCTAATGGCACTGATTTCTCCTCCCATCACAGCAGCTCACATTAAGCCTTAAGTTCATTACGTTCTAAAACACTTGTACAAACCAACCCCCTTTTTTAAAAATAGCAGATCATCAGAATTATGGAATTACAAGAAGAATATGATGTAGTAACAGAGCCACCGCTTTTCATCCACCGTCTCACAAGTTTCAGAAAGCACGTACCGAATTTCACGTGCCCAAGTCCACACTAAGTGAGGCTGTGTCACCCTCCGATGGCTACGTTACATAGAGATGAACGGTAGCCAACCCCTAAGGAATGACCCAGACAAGACGTGGACGAGTGACGTGCGCTTCCGGGTCACAAACAAAACCAACAGAAAAACCCGAACGTCCTGGCTCCAGGAGCAGCAGTAGTTTGAGAATATGCTGTGTCTCCAATTACTGATGAACTCCCCTCCTGATACATATTGCACACACTTCTCACGTTGCAGCCAAAGAGCGCATCGCTCTCACCTCAATAACGTTAGAGACAAGGTACGGCAGGGTTTTGTTCACTTTGATCTTCTCACTGTTCTCTTTGATCTTGTCTTTCATGGCCTGAAGCTCGTGGGTCACTCTCAGTACTTCACTCTTCATGATCTGGAATCAGGATGCAGAAGAAAGACAGAAGAATAATATCTGAAGGCTAAGGCAAGATAAAATTCACACGTTGTTCTAAAAGTAAAACAGTTATACAGATGTAAGTGAGGAAACAGTGGGCATAAAAGGAAACATAATATCAAAAGAGGAAAAGCCCGGAAATGAGCCAAAAGCGGTTGGGAACCAATGCTACGCTGTCCATTCTGGTCTCCAGCGAATCCATATTCCCTACGTAGTTTCTTCCCCATGTCACTGCATAGCCTTAGCCTGAACAATGCATCAGCTTACAGGCTTGCAGTATGACCTAGAGAAGGACTTGTCCTAGATAAGGCAACTATATGGTTTTTTTTCCTTTTTAATATATATATAGATACACAGGTAACGAGATACACGCACACAGCATATCTGTAAGCATCCATGTGCGCACACCCATTCTAAAGTTGTGTTTTGCTGGGTTTAAAGAATTGCATGCTGGAACACTGAAGCGGTGACATGCGATAGCATAGAGCAGCCAGACAGAAAAACCTTAACTGGAAGTATCACCGTAGAGAATCAAAGTAAACTGGAAGTATGCAGGGGGAATGGCAGAACTGAGGCTTGTGCCTCCCGAGAGCAGCGGGACCACCAGCGCCTTTGCAATGTGATGTGCCACCACTGCTTCCAGTGGAACATGGAGAAACAGAGGTGCCATTTTGATAAAGCTGTTCTGTTCGACAAGACCACACGTATCAAGACCTACATACAAGAAACAAACATACCAGCTGCCATGGTAGGGGAAAAATACTTTTTCTCCTAAAAGTAAAACCTTCAACACTGGAGTGAGATCCAGTACTCGTTCCCCACAAAGACAGACAGGTCCTTTGGAAAACAATGGAGCGTGGGCTCACAGGACACACAGGCTGAGAGGGACCTCAGGGGGTCTCTAGTTCAACCTCCTGCTCAAGCAGGGTCAGCCGTGGGCTCTCACCAGGCTGCTCAGGGCTTTGCCCAACTGTATCTTGGAAACTTCCAAGGATGCAGACTGTACAATTTCTCTGGAACAACCTGTCTGACTGCCTTCACAGTGACAAGATCATCTTCATACCCCTACAGAATCTCTCATTTGTTCAATTTGTGACCAGTGATTTATGGTTTGAATCAACCTTGGCCTAGGCTTCTGAGACAGAAAATCTTTCTACAGGAAAAAAACAACCATACCAAACGCAAATCAGTAGTGTGACAGAAAGCTCAAATTCCTACATCTTCATATAATTTTAACTTTACTAAGGCTCTTACTGCTACTGTGGTCAACAGCTGAATGTCTGGATGGAGATTGGTGATAAGTGGTGTCCCTCAGGGGTATGTACTGGGACCGGTACTGTTTAGTGTATTCATCAGCAACAGAGACAGTGGGATCAAATGCACCCTCAGCAAGTTTGCAGATGACACCAAGCTCGGTGGTGTGGTTGACATGCCTGAGGGACGGGATGGGACCTGGGCAAGCCGGAGGGGTGGGCCTGTGTGAACCTCATGAGGTTCAACAAGGCCAAGTGCAAGGTCCTGCACCTGGGTCGGGGCAATCCCAGTACAGGCTGGGGGGGGGAAGGGATTGAGAGCAGCCCTGCCGAGAGGGACTTGGGGGTACTGGTGGACAAAAAGCTGGACATGAGCCAGCAACGTGTGCTAGCAGCCCAGGTGTCCTGGGCTACATCAAAAGAAGGGCTAACAGGTCGAGGGAGGTGTCCCTCTACTCCGCTCTTGTGAGACCCCACCTGGAGTACTGTGTTCAGCTCTGGGGCCCCCAGCATAAGACAGACATGGACCTCTTGGAGCGGGTCCAGAGGAGGGCCACAAAAATGGTTCGAGGGGTGTGCACCTCTCCTGTGAGGACAGGCTGAGAGAGTTGGGGTTGTTCAGCCTGGAGAAGAGAAGGCTGCGCGGAGACCTTATTGAAGTCTTTTGGTACTTAAAGGGGGGCTTATAAGAAAGATGGGGACAGGGTATTCAGCAGAGCCTGTTGCGACAGGACAAGGGGTAATGGTTTCAAACTGAAAAAGGGTAGATTCAGACTGGATATAAAGAACAAATATTTTATAGTGAGGGTGGTGAAACACTGGAATACGTTGCCCAGAGAGGTCGTAGATGTCCCATCCCTGGAAACTTTCAAGGTGAGGTTGGACAGGGCTCTGCTCACTGCAGGGGGGGTGGACTGGGTGACCTCTAAACCCAAACGATTCTATGATTCTACTAACTGTAAGGTAAAACACCTACAAGAACAGCAGTTCTGTACTCACCACCCAACAGCATGTACATTTATACCCAAGGCACCCAGTACAGGTGTTTCTCAGTGCTCCCTGGCTGACACCCACAGAAGTTTTCCTCCCTTTCCTGGTTAGTCACACAGTTTGAAAACACAGCCTGTGATCCCCACGGAAGTGACTGTAGCACCAAATGGTCTCAGGAGAACTGGTTACACCTGAATTGGTTTATGCGATTCTGTTTAGTAGGGAAATCCACTCTTCTCTAAAAAACTGTCTTTTTAAAACTCTTGAAGCCTAAGCCTAATACTGTGCTGTAACACATACGTATTCACAGGACAGAACTATTACAGGAACCAATACAGAATCTGTTACATAAAAATGCAAAAAATTTAGAAATTTGATTTAATAAACACAGTCTGGGAACGATTCAAGGAAACTGCACAAAAGGAGGGTGCCAATAAACATTTCTGCCACCCCGAGGCTGCTTTTACTTCTTACTGTATTCCACAATTTAAAAATAAGACACATATTTATCCTTGCTGGCTTTAAAGAATAAGAAACGATGTATGTCAGTAAGTCAGGATTACTTGTGGAGCCTGAAGCAGCAGGATGAAGTCACTTTGTAGAACTTACGAAATAATTTATCTCGACATTGCTAACATCGTGCAGCAGAGACAAACTTACACTGAAGTTATCAGTGCCCTTTCATGTAAATGGGTCTCTCTTGGGACGGGCCTACCCGGGCCTACCCAGGTCTGTCGTGTTTAGTGTCTTTATGAATGACCTCGACAAAGGGCTGGAGAGCACTCTCGTCGCGTTTGCAGATGACACCAAACTGGGGGGCACAGTCTCTGCGCTCAAGGGCAGGGCTGCAACTCAGAGGGGCCTTGGGAGACTGGAGGAATTAGGCATAGGGAAACCTTAGAAAATTCAAGGACAAAAGCAAAGCCCTGCACCTGGGAGGGAAGAGCACCTTGCAGCGACACAGGCTGGGGAGCAGCTCTGAGGAAAGGGACCGCGGACAATAAACTGAACGCGAGCCAGCAACGTGCCCTGACAGCAAGGGTGGCAAACAGCATCCTGAGCTGTATGACCAGGAGCAGGAGTGCAGCCAGGAGATGGAGAAAAGTGATCGGTCCCCTTTGCTCAAGGCTTGTTAGTTCCTTTCTAGAGCACTCTGTCCAGTTTTGGGCCTCCCCATACAGCAAAGATGTTGATAAACGGGACTGAGTTCAGCACAGGGCCACCGAGGCGGCCAGAGGGGCTGGAGCACAGGCCCCGTGAGGAGCAGCTGAGGGAAGCGGGCTTGTTCAGCTGGAGAAGAGAACTACTGGGGAAGGAATCAAGACGACAGAACCAGACACTTCACAGCAGCACACGGTGGGCGGAGGAGACAACAGACAAAGAGTGAAACAAGAGAGGTTCAGGCTGTACGCAAAGCAAACCTTTATCCTCACAGGGACAGCCAAGCGGTGGCACAGAATGCCCAGTGAAACGGTGCAATCTCCGTCCTCAGAGGCTTTCAAGATCCAACTGCCCAAAGCCCTGGGCAACCCGGGTTACGGCTGACCCTGCGCTAGTCAGGAGGTTGGACTAGAGATCTTCTGAAGTCCCTTCCAAACGGAATTACCTGATGATCCCAGCTCGCCCGGACCATAGAACAGGCCCCTTCCCCCCCGCCCCCCCCGGGACTTGTGCACCTTTAGCTGAAGCGTCCAAGCTGCAATGGCTCCCTAGAAGAACCCTCCCTCCAGCGTCCCCGCTCTTTCACTTACTGCTGCTGCCCTCCGCCCGCGGCTTACCGACCCTCAGCCCACTAAATCCCGACCTGGTTAGCTGCGCCTTAGTCTTCATCGCCCTCC